CTGTGAGTTCGAGGCCAGCCTGGGCTACGAAGTGAGTCCCAGGAAAGGCGCAAAGCTACACAGAGAAACCCTGTCTCAAAAAACCAAAAAAAAAAAAAAAAAAAAGAACAAAATAGTTGCCGAAGGTGAGTTGTCAACAGATGTGGAGACCCGTCAGTCCCACAGGGTGAAAGGCCCGTCTCCAGCTTTACCCTGCTATGCAAATAAACGTGAATTTATTTTTCGGAAATAATAATAATAATGGATAAATATTTTTAAATGAGTTTATTTTTATTTTACCTCCCTATATTTATCTGACTTGGTTATGGGTTTTTCCACGGTTAGGAAATTTTTAATTTTTCTTCTACTCTCCTGCTCTTCTCTCTTCCCCGACATGACTTCTCCACTCTCTCCTTTGTCCCGTCATTTATTTAACTTAGTTCTCAAAATTTTCTTTTGCCTTGCTCCTCTCCTTTGTCAAAGGGGAAGAGAGAAAAATAACAGCTTCTTGCTCTGTTTAAACCTGAGGCACTTCCTGTCCTGCTTTTGGGAGCTGGCAGTTGCTTTTGCTCCAAAAAGCAGTGGCCAGGCAGCTGCACAGAGGTCGCAAGCAGCATTTGTCCCGGACCACAGAACTGAGTGCAAGCATCAGCATCCGGACGCCCCGGGTTTTCCCCTCTGGCGTCCCCAGTGCCTGGTAACTGAGTCGGATGCTTAAACCTTTGTTTCTATTTCTAGAAACAGGACAGGAGCACCGGGCAAAAGAAGGTGTTTGGGAATCAGCTATGAAAAGGGCGCCGAAGGAAACAATTCCAGAAAGTTGTCCAGGGACAGCGGGGCTCAGCCCCAAGTTAAGATGAACCCGCTTTTTCCATAAACCGGATGTACATACCGAAAGCTTTGAAAAGTGGGGAGGAGGCGGCTGGCTGCACTGGTATAAAGCTGTCCACTAGATGGAGCAAGGTAGAAACTGCTTCCACTAGCGCGGGCAAGCCTTAGGAAACTGATTCGGCTGGCACCCAATAGCAACGGCAGGCAGGAAAAAAAATGGCTGCCTTCACCACGTCAAAAAGAGATCAGTGTTCTCCATAAGGGCATAATAATCAACAAACCTTCCAGAATACCATTCAAAACTGCCATGCACATGAAGAAAAAGCAAGGGCACTCAGAGAAAAAGTTAATAGACCTATCAAAATTTGCTTTTAAAAAAAGTTGATAAAATGAAAAAAAAAAAATGTTACTGACTTGGAGAAAATATTTGCAAATTAAGAATCAGACCTTATGCACAACATATAAAGATTTCCTTAAACTCAATAGTAAGAAAACAAGCAACTCGATTTTGTAAACAGGGCTAAAACTTCAACAGACATGTTAGCAGAAAGAAACACCCATGACAAATAAGCACTAATTCAAGTGAACAGTTCACACACCGGCTAGAATGGGCAAGGATTCCAAATGTGATTTAAGACACTTAGCAAGTATAACCTCGCCTCATGCTGCTGGGAATATGCCCATTAGGAAATAGCTTGCCCGTCTTAGAAAAGATAAATTCCACATTAACCAGCATTCCTGATGCTAGGTACTTACCAAAGAAAAATAAAGCAGGGTTAGTAAGACGGCTGAGCCGGTAAAGGCGCTCGTGGCCAAACCTGACACCTCCGTTCAATCCCTGGGACCCACGTGCTCAAGAGAGAACTAATGTCAGCAGGCTGTCCTCTCGCCTCCACCTACATGTGTAATATGTATATGCATAAATTAATATGTAAAACAATTAAGGACGAAAGGCTGTGTTCATATAAAACTGTACGAAGGGCTGGAGAGATGGCTCGGAGGTTAAGAGCATCCTGTGTAAGCATGAAGACTTGCGTTCAAATCTCAAGTGTGTGCCGGTAACCCCACTGGGGGTTGAGGGGAAGAAACAGGCAGAGCCCAGGAACTTGCTGGCCAGCCAGCCTGTCTATAATGGAAAGCAGATCGTTGAGAGACGCTGTCTCGGGCAATAAGTTAGAGAATGACAAGGACGACTACAGCAAGCCTTCTCTGCCCTCTGAATGTTCACACCAAGGTACACACACTCACATGCATGCACCACACAAATACCACACACACACACACACACACACACACACACACACACACACACGCACACGCACACGCACACGCACGCACGCACAATTTTAAAACCTCTGCATATGTAATGGTCATGGTTGCTTAATTCAGAAGAAGAATTTGAAAGCCATCCCTATGCTCATCCGCTAATGGGTAAGCAGGATGCGGCACAAGCCTATAGTAAAACAGAACCGAGTGGATACACAGGATAAAGTACTTCTGAAAGCATACGTTCTCAAAGAAACAAACCTCGAAGACACACACACTCCAGCATTGACCTAACATTCCAGAAAAGGAAAAAAAAAAAAAAAAAAAAAAAAAAAAAAAAAAAAAAAAAAAAAAAAAAAAAAAAAAAAAAAAAACCTACACTGTCAGAGATCGGATTGGTGGCCCTGAATCAGGAAGACAGGCGATGTTATGAACAGAAAGAACACACAGAGTCTTAGTGAGGCAGAACTGCTCCATATACTGTTTGTGCGCCCAGCTGTGCTCTCCGCTTCCTCATCGGAGCCGTGAGAACAGCTGTTCCTGAAGGTCTCTGTGGGTTTGGAACCAGCTCCTCCATGCTCTCCGGGTGATGAACTGAAACAGAGCCACAAGAAAGCTCTCCTCCTTCCCGTGGGGTCAGGTGCTTCTGTGACAGTGGCGCAACCATACCCAACACCCAGCCCAAGTGGACCGAGACACATCCCTTCCGCCGGCCTCCCCACGCCCCCTTGACGTTTGCCGCTTTACTACAGTGTGATCCGTGGGAAGCTTGTTTGTTCTCTCTGCTCTGGCTTCCTGATGGCCTGCGCACTCCTTAGCCTGTGTGACTGGACCCTTCCTTCATACTGCGTGGACCTTTCAATCTCCTTGCTTCTGTCTTCTACTTCTCTGCCCCTTAACACCCCTACTTAGCGTACTCCGGGCTCTGGACTTAGCACCTCACTCCACACTGTGGAGAGTGATCCTGTCCACTGAGGACCGGATGAGTCCGCTTTTGATAGATGATACATGCAGTGCCGGGCACCAAAACAGGGAGGTAGATCATGATAACAGTGGTAGCCAGGATGATGAGGACAGGACCATACTTCCTATCTTCCAAACCATAACTACAACTGCAAACTCCTTCTCAAGGAACTGAAGAAGACTGCCAACTGCATCCTGAAGGAAGGGCCCAGAGCTCTGTGGTAAAGCCGTTACCTAGCATGAACACAGCCCTGAATTGACAGCAGAACTGAAAAAGCAAAACACAGTTGAGTTGAATCCTTTTATCTAGGTTCTGAGTTCAGGTAAGTGTTCTTTTTTTTAATATATATATTTTTATTAAGAGATTTTTTTCTATTCATTTTACATACCAAGCACAGATTCCGCTGTCCTCCCTCCTCCTGCCCCCCAGCTTCCCCCACAACCCACCTCCTCCAAGGCAAGGTCTCCCATGGGGAGTCAGCAGAGCCTGGTACATTCAGTTGAGGCAGGTCCAAGCCCCTCCTTCCTGTACCAAAGCTGTACAAAGTGTCCCACCATAGGCACTAGGTTCCAAAAAGCCAGCTCATGTACTAGGAACAGGTCCCGATCCCACTGCCTGGGAGCCCCAGGTAGGTATTCTTAAAAGAAAAACTTCACACATGCTCAGTGCGGCACTTTATTGGAAATTGGATACATACATCAATGAAGTAAGATCAAAGTAAGCATCATTTGACACAATACTATCCTAATATCTATGCTATCTTCTTACATAACAATAGATCCCAAGATGCCCCTGACTTGGGTATCAAAGGGCAAGCTTTAATAGTCTAGAAATATCTCTATATAAATATAAACCATAGCATCTAAAATAACCATCGTTGTTTTGAGTCAGGTTCAAGAGTCCTGGGAAATCTCTTAAAATAATAAGTACTTTAGATGGCTGACAGAAGGGCTTGTAACTCAGTGACAGAACACGGCCCCAAGTTCTCCAGTGCCACAAAAAAAAAATGACTAAACAAAAACACGAAGCTAACGACAACAAAGTTCAGGCAGAGGGAAATTCTCTCCTGGGGGGGGGGACACACAAAGGGGCTGGAATGCTGGTCAGAAAACTCAGCCACCCTGCATTTCCAACACTGCTTGAGCATCAAAGCCAACAGAGACGTGAGACTCGGTGCGGAAAGCGAGTCACTGCACCGGCTCCTTGGGCACTGTGAAATTACAGCAAAGTTCTCCTTCGGGTTACACGGGGCAGAGATTGGCAGAGACGCTTTTGAAACTTGTGCTCATCTCTCTCTCTCTGCCATACCAGCTCCTTCTCCCCAACAGAGAAAAATGGAAGAAGTTTCACAAATCAAGAGTTTGATTTGCTGAGGATGGGGTAGACTTGCACGGTTTGGTGCGAGGGGCCCTGGCCAAAGCTGCTCTTTCCCAGTCTCCCTCACCTCCTTTACCGTCAGCAGCTTCAAGGATCTTTGGGTCTGCAAAGCTTCTCACTGCACGGCACACATCTGTGTGGCTTCACTGCTCACCAACAGCATTCACTTCCATTAAGTCACATGATTCTCAACCCTGGGAAGCGGGAGGCAGGGACCATGACCCCTGGTTGAAAGCTAAGGAGCTTGGTACCCACAGCGTTAGGTCCCTTGGTCAAATCCACACTGTCAGCCAGCTGCAGAATCAAAACTAAAATGCAAGTCCAACTCCTGCGTCTTCCCCGCTGTCTCTCTGAGAACAGGCTGGGGGAGAGACCTGTGTCCTTATCACACGCCATCCCACTTTCAATGGTCTCAGGCAGCCCCATTGAGAACCGGATGAGTCCGCATTCGATAGATGATGACTGCAGTGGCCGGGCAGAGAAACAAGGAGGTCATGACGACGATGGTAGCCAGGATGATGAGGACAATGGCCCAGATATCCAGGATGTGCTTGGGAAGGAGGACATCCACAGGTGATTGGCTGATAGCATCCATGTCGGCCCTGGAATGGACAGGAAAGGAAAGTCAGTTTCGAGCACCCTCTCCCTGCCACCCTCCTAGGAAGGAGATCTCCAGAAGTCAGAGTTGCTGTGATCTTTAGTGGTGTGATGGCATCATTTGCCGCAGCATCCTATTACCAAGAACATGCAAAACACTTTTTAATATTGCTTTTTATTATGTGTGTGTGCACACAAGTGCACATGTCTGCATTCATACGTGTTTCTGCAGAGACCAAAAGAAGACGTCAGGTCCCCTGCAGTCGGAGTTATAAGGGGTTCTGAGCCGCCTGACCTGTGGGCTGTGTCCTCTGCAAAAGCAGCAAGTGCTCGTAACCACAGAGCCACCTCTCCTGCCCCTTATGCGAGGCACTTTATGACTACTAATTCAGTCTATCCTCATGTCAGTTACCAATCCAATGATAAGGATTATCATTGGATTATCATTGGATCAGTTACCAATCCAATGATAACTATTCGTGTTAGGTTTCTTAGCCTTTTATCTTCAGTTATTCCCATGATTCCTGTATTCCATTGATTGACAATGGAAATCAAAGCCATGTAGATGTCATGAATTTGGCCTAGGAAATAAACCCAGATAGATGAACTTTTCATGCTTATTGTTTAAACTACCAGTCTGTTTCCCTCATCCATAAAGTGATAGTTCACTGTTTTTGCTGTGTCCCATTGCTTTTTTAGGGGGGAGGGAGAATAGGTGTGTACATATGCACATGAACATGTATGTTCTGTGTGTGTAAGCTATAGGACAAGGACAACCTTGAATGTTATCTATAGGTGTTATCTATCTTGCTTTGGGGTGTTTTTTTTTTTTTAATAGCAGCCATATTTTTTTTAAATTAGGCAGGAAGTAGAAAAGAAAGCCCCTATACAGGGCCATATTCAAGGCATCTTTGGTTTCATGGGGTTAAGGAAGACAAAGTGTTTGGAAAAATCCAAGTGACCCCTGAATTTTATACTGTGGCCCCTCACAGCCCTCATCTCGGCAGAACCTAGTATTATGCACTGGAACCCTGGGGCAGGAAAAACAACACTTTCTTTACTCTTCTTAAAACTGTTGACAGCCACGTGGTAACAGAGAAACACAAGCAAGAACGGTGGCACACAAGGCACTGTGGGAAAGCTGGCAGAGCGCATTTGTCACCATCCTAACCGGCTCCACTCAGCTCCAGCTACCAGTGCACAATGTGGTTTCCGAGTCGGGGTCTCTCACTGGGACCTAGGGCTTGTAGATTCAGCTTGGCAGACTGCCAGCAAGCTCCAGGGATCTGCCTGCCTCTGGCTCCCTGGCTCTGGGATTGTAAGTGTGCACTACTACATCCAGCTTTTTACACAGACACTGGGAATTGGACTTAGGTCCTGTTGTTTGTGGCAGGCACTCTAACAAATGAAGCAACTTTCTTTTTTCTACAGAAAGCCTGCCTACTTATTCCTTGTGGGTTCCTTGGGACATCCACCAAGCACAAGGATGGAGATCTGACTTAGGCATAGCATGGAGAATCTCAATAAACACATTTTGGGAATATGCAAGGGACTCAGACTGGTCCACCAAAGTCTTCTCCAGTACTTTTATGCCCAAGCTCTTGGGAAAGGGTCGGGGTGGCTAAATTGAAAGGCTGTATATCTGGGAAGGGTGGGGCTCTTATGTTCACAGGTAGAGTGCCTGTCTTTGAGTTAAACACAGGTAGAGCCTTGACAGTGAGCACCTGAACCAAGTTACGTTTGATGCCATTGGAAACCCTAGACATGCCAAACATATGAGCCAGCCAATAATTTCCAGGTTCTGTTTAAACCAATGTCCATTTGGTATCTTCTCTTGGCAGCTTTAAATTAAAAGAAAGTTCAACATGCCTGTAATACAAGTGAGAAGATAAGGCAAAAAGATCAGGAGTTTGAGGCCAACCTGGGCTACAATGTAGCAAGACCTTGCCAAAAAAAAAAAATAATAATAACTAAATTCAGATAGGTAAGACATTCTGTTTCACAATGTCTCAGTGTCTTGGTAGTTGTTCTCAAAGCACCTCAGGCCAAAGAAGTATCTTGCAATTTTGTGTACTAAGTAGTTAGGTTGAAAAAATCTAATAAGTATAATAAGTATTTCTGTCATAACAAGTTAGTATGCATATACCTGTTGAGTACTGTTGCGGGGGGGGGGGGGGGGGGGGGGGGGGGGGGGGGGGGCGCGTGAGTAGCCTCAGATGCTAGAGGCATGGATTTCCCCAGATGTTAGCTTTGGGAATCAAACTCTGGTCCTCTGGAAGATCAATAAATGCTATTAACTGCAGAGCCATCTCCCCAGCCCCTTTGAAACTTTTTAAACTTTGGGATATGACTAGACAATGCCATCTTCTTCTCCTAGTCTACGTTAATTTTTGTCTAGATCTAACATATCAATAGCAACCATCAGAAACAGCTGCATGGAACACCACCTCCAAAAACCACATAGAAAGTTCAATGTTAAACTTGATCTAGCAGTTAAGTAGTCTGGGAGATTTTTCAACATCACTATTTCTGTCAAAAATGTTACTGAAAAGGAAAAGGGGCTGACAAATGAGACCTCATGAAACGTCAAAGTTCAGGACAACAGTAGAAACTGAGTAAAGAGACAGCCTACAGAATGGGAGGAAATCCTCACCAGCAAACAAACTGACAGAGGATTAATAACTAGAATACACAAGGAATTCAGGAGAAAAAGTAACCAAAAGAAAACATATAACCAGTCAGAAATGGCCTGTAGAACCGAGCAGAGTTCTTAAAGGAGAAACACAAATGGCCAATAAATATTGTTTTAAGTGGTAAATACCCATTGGCATCAGGGAAATACAAATTACATCTACTTGGAGATTCCATCTCATCCCAGTTAGAATGGCTATCATTAAAAAAAAATGAGAACAAATTCTGAGAAGATGAGGATGTGTGCGAAAGAAAGTCCTTATCCACTGTTGGTGGGAGGTGTGGCCGCCATGGAAATTGGTCTGGAGGCTTCAAATAAATAAATAAATAGATAGATAGATAAATAAATATGAGGCAAGCAAATCTCTGTAAGTTAGAGACCAGCCTGATCTACATAATGAATCTCAGGCCAGCCATGGATACCCAGTGAGAGCCTGTCTCCAAAATAACAGTCATATGACCCAGCTATACCACTCCTGGGCATATATACAAAGGACTGGATATTTGACCACAGAGACTCTTGCACATCACCCATGTTTGTTGCTGTGCTTCTCATAATAACATGGAAATGCAGCCAGCCTAAATGTCCATCAACTGATGAACGGATAATAATTACATAGTATATATACACAATGGAATTGCATTCAGTGATAAAGAAAAACAAAGCTATGATATTTGCAGGGATATGTATGAAACAAGAAAAATATACATTCTCTTAATATAAAGATCCTCACTTCCAACTTTTATATATTTGCATTTATGTAGAAGTCAGAAAACTAGCAAGTAACCTGTGGAAAGGGGGAAAAAGAGGTTTTAAGGGGTAAGGGTAACAGAACACGTGTGATATGGAAGTGGAAGAAGGAATATTGGGGTGAAATGTTTAGGCAGGGAGGAAGCAAGGGAGATGAGGCAGAGTAGCAGACTGGGAAGACTATAATTAAAGAGTAAATTAAAGATGCATGAAAGGGTCAAAAGGAAAGCTGACACAGGGTAGAATAATTTTAAAATCTGTTTTTTAAGTATTAGAGTAGAGGTACCCTTCATGGGAGGATAAAGCTGTTCTCAGAAGCCAATGACTTATTAAATGAAATCTCAGTGCCAGACAGTGGGTTACCTTCCTACAAGCTGTTAGTCACAAAGGCCCTTGAAGCCCCCAAAAAACGCAAACAGAGTGCCCCTGCTGTTGGTTCCCCACCAGACCTAGATATTAGGACCCCACCACTAAAGACGCACACGATCCGGCCATGGGACAGACAGAAATCAAGGCAGACCTGGGATGAAGCCTCCTCCCTTCCGCCTAGCCCTCGCAGTGCTGGAAGGCTCTAAGCTGGGGAGTTGTCATCAACGGTCTTCCTGAGCGGTAGATTCTGAGTGCAAGCAACATTACCGACCAGCCAAGCAAGATGTGCCCACTGGTGCAGTGGCGGCAAATCCAGTGCAGGAATAAGAGGCCAGCTTCTGGTTGGACTTTAAGGCCCATCCACACGAGAGAGAATTCACATCTGAAATTATGAACTCAGTCAAAAGCCCATGAGGATGGGGAGCTCCTGGGCTAGTGGGGAAGCTACTGCTCTGGGGCTAAATTATCATGACGTGTCCATCAAACTGCCTTCTGAATAATTATGTTTGTACCCATAAATTACTGCTGTTCTCAGAGAAGCTTCTTTTTATAGTAGACACGCTAACGGCAGAGCCTCATAACTGGTCCAAGTGCAGAACATGACTACTGAATGTCAGCCGTAAATAAAACATGTATGTCATGCCCTCCAAAGGTTCAGGAAACACAGCAGAAGAGGAGGCAGAAAGAACGGAAGAGCCAGAGGAAGCCGAAGACTGTGGTGGAATGCTGTCTTCTGGGTAGAACGTGGATGGCCACTGCACTCTTGATATCAAAGCAGCTGTCACCACCTGCACAAGGCCTGGACAACACTGGGCCCATCAATATCCTGCCATGGATGGGTGAGGGGTTCACGAAGTCTCCCCTTCCCGGAGGATCTATAGGCAGTCGATGGTTGTGGGGAAGACATTTTCTTCAGTGGTGTGATCATCAGTAAGATGCCCATGCTCCTGAAAATAATTTTCACCCACGTTCCCATAAACAACCACAATGAGACTCACTGGGTCTCTAAAACATAGAGGGATTTGGTGAGGTGGCTCAGCAGGTAAAGGAACTTGCTCTCCCCCCTGACCATCTGAGTTCAATCCTTGGGTCTCACACAGTGGAAGGAGAGAAATGAATCACCCAAGTTGTCCTCTGACCTCCACACATGCACCACGGTGCCCTCAAGTGTGTGGCACACACACACACACACAC